GTTCATGATATAAATTCTGTAATCTGTATGCTGGTTCATGGTGTATAAAGTTATCTTTCTTTATTTTTTTTTAGGAGAGGAATCGAATGGAGAAATATGGTCTACGTCCACGCACATTAAAGGGTGAACTGTTTAGTTTGTTATCCAAGCAAGGAAGTGGTGGGTTAAAAGTTTCTGAGCTGGCAGGAGCACCTCAGGTACAAATTACTAGATTATATATTGTCTCAAGATTCAAATGTCCATGAAAAGATGCTGAGCAAATTTTCATGTTATGAGTGATGACAATAGTAAAAGTTGTTTTTTTTCAGATTGTTGAACTTGGCTTTCCCAACACAACAGAAGAATTGGAAAAGTTAATATATTCAACTCTTTCAAGTGACATTACATTGTTTGAGAAGATAGGACCTTCTGCATATCGTCTTCGAGTTGACCCTCAGATTAAAGGGAAAGGTGATTCTCATTCAGATACTGAGGATTCAGGAAGTGTTGATGATGACTCTGAGGATGACAATGCAAGTGGTAGCAGCGACGATTGTGAGGAGATGGAATCCACTATTCATGATAGGCGAATTATTAAGTACAACTCCCTACATAAGAAAACCAGCAAGAGGATAACTGAATATACTGAAATTGATGAAAGCTATTCAGGGGAAGCCTGGATGCAAGGGCTTATGGAGGGTGAATACTCAACATTAAGTATCGAAGAGAAGATGGATGCTATAGTTGCTCTTGTTGATCTTGTTGGTGGTGGTTCCAGTTTAAGAATGGAGGTATATAATATGCATATTCATATGCCTGCAGTGACTTCACTAACCTGATTATAGCTTAGATTCAGTGTTTCTAAGTTGGTTTGAGTTGTGTTCTCAAGACCACTTTTTTCTCATGGAACAAACCTGATCTCTTAGCTGCCACTTCTTTCTGTTTGCTATCTTGTTCATATATTTCTCTTTGCTTAGATAAGTATATAAATTTATTTCTCTTATGTGGATCTCCATGAGCTTTACCGTCTCACACCTGGTCATACAAAAGTTTTTTGTGGGTACTCTTTAAGCAGATAAACTCAGTTTGTTCCATTATCCTATTTTCTTGGACTTGATTCATAGTTCTTCATTAATAGCTTGCATGTTCCAATCCTAGTCTGTCACTTTTCATGATGAAGTCTATTTTGTTTTGCTGAAAGCTGCTTAGCTTAGTGAACTTTTTACGCCAATGGTGTTTGATCTTTGTTTGGGGTTTATTCCTGTGAGTCATTATAATGACTTCTTTTTATGTTATTATCCTATGACAGGAACCTGTAAGAGCTATATTGGTCAATCCAAATGAACGGCATCGTGGATCAGGTGCAAAAATAAAAAAGTCACTTACAAACAATCAAGTATTACCAGTGCCATTGTTGGAGGGAAATGGGTGTGGCGGAACTTATTCCTTGCTAAATGTTTCTCGGTCCGATCCTTCAGAATTATACATGGGTTTTAAAAATGCTAAAGCTTCTAGTAACATTAGTGGATGCCAATCAAGTGCTTCAGGAATAAGTAACTCTAAAGTTAGAGAATCCTGCCAGGATATGCACCCACCACAATGTATACTGTTGGGATCTGATCGTAGGTACAACAATTATTGGCTTTTTCTTGGTCCATGCACAGCACACGATCCTGGCCATCGAAGGGTCTATTTTGAGTCTTCAGAAGATGGTCACTGGGAGGTCATTGATACAGCACAGGTTGTTTTTGCTATCGTGTTAGCCAAAATTTTACAAGCTTATGTGTTTTCCTTAATAATATTTGTGAGATGTTTATGACGTATTCCTAAAGTTTTGCTATTTGTACCTGGATTACAGGCTTTGCATTCTCTATTATCTGTCTTAGACAGCAGGGGAACACGGGAAGCTTGTCTGCTTGCTTCTTTAGAGAAGAGGAAATTATATCTTTGTGAAGCAATGAATGAGTATATGACTGCTGTGATTGGAAGCAGACAAACAAAAAGTTCTAGACCATCCGATTTGGATTCTAGTAGTGGAGATGGATCTTCACCAATTTCAGATGTTGATAATTATCTAATTTCTGTGGAATTAGATAGTTTATCAGGTGGCTCTTGTGCTATAGATATTGAAACTGGAAGGAATAGTGAAGAAAAGAAGCAAAAGTGGGACCGATTACAAGCATTTGATAAATGGGTTTGGAATATGTTTTACTCGTCACTAAATGCTGTAAAGTACAGTAAGAGGTCATATATGGAATCATTAGCTCGTTGTGAGAGTTGCCATGATTTATTTTGGAGAGATGAAAAACATTGTAAGACCTGCCATACCACCTTCGAGATAGATTTTGATCTTGAAGAGAGGTATGCCATACATGTGGCAACATGTAGAGAACCAGAGGATGTGGGTGATTTTCCAAAACATAGAATTCTGTCTTCACAGTTGCAAGCACTGAAGGCATCAATTCATGCAATTGAGGTGACTTGTTCATACTTTTTTTCACTAATATGTGCTGATTTTTCATCTATCATTTATTCATTAATATATAATTGCATGTACATATCATTTTGTGTTGGTGAGCTTAATCTTTGTTTGAGTTTACATGAAATGTGCACCCATTACTTATGTTTTTTTCTTGTCTTCTGTTTTCCTGCAGGCAAGTATGCCAGAGGCAGCACTCGCTGGTACATGGACGACCTCAGCTCACTGGCTTTGGGTAAAGCGGCTCCGGCGTACATCATCTTTGCCAGAGCTTTTGCAGGTTTAGTCTTTCATATCATTAATTAATTTCTAAATTGTTGACTTATTTTCAACGTCTATGCTATGAGGACCTTGATGTGAACTGTTGATCTTCCATTATATATGACAGGTTCTTACTGATCTTGTTGGTGCCCTAAATGAGGAATGGCTGTATGATTGCACTACGTTAGGTTCTGATATTGTTGCAGATGATGTAATCTTACAATTCCAAACTATGCCCCAAACAACTTCTGCAGTTGCACTATGGATGGTCAAGTTGGATTCCTTGATTGCTCCACATTTGGCAAGAGTTCAATCTGAAAGAATACCAATATGCTTGCCCCAATCAAAACGTACGCCAGGATTGTGATTTTTTACTTTACTATTCACTTTGTTGGTTTAAACCTTTGCTTTAGTTCTTGTTTATCCTATCCTCTTTATTAAGTTCTTGATATCATATATACGAGGATAAAACATCTGTCTCTTGATTATTACAGGCAAGTGGTTGAACTTGTTCTGTTAGTACTGAAGCTTAATGTTTACCTTGGGCTTCAGTTTAAACTTCTGATGTTTTTTTTAAAAAAGCTTTGTTGCTTTCTATGTTCATTTTTCTATTGACTTAAAATTTTCATATTTGGTTTTTGACTCAACTGCTAATAAACTCGGTTCGGTCTAACAATCTTTTGAAGAGATGTTGCAAGACTTACATACCTGTCTTCTTTGAGCATATGGCCACCACTCTTTTGCAGGAATAGATTGGTTATACAAAAGGTGAACAAATATTAGCTGTTATATATCTCATGTTACGTGCATACCTAGAGATGAGTCCCTCTTATGAACATCACATGTTTTCTTTTGATAACCCTTAAGACTAATCCCTCATTTGTACCTGTCAATTTGATCTATGGAAATTTTGATTTGTTTCAGGAAGACGGACCTAATATGAATATTCTTCTGCAAGCATACTTGCTGGATTTCCAGACATTCTTCAATTTGTTGCGAGCATGACAGCTGCTTGTATTGTCTTCTGCTTTGGGTCTTTTGACTCTTTGGAGAGGCAGATATTTGTAATCTGGGATTCTGAGCACCATGGAAGATTTTTTACCATGGCCTTGGGCAGGTCAACTGGATCATCAGCTTTGGAATAATACGAAGACGAACTACTGAGGGATGCCCAAGGAAGCCTTTTCCTTTCTTTTCTAGATCTTTTTGAAGTACCATTTCCAGTTAAACAGCTACGTAACATCCATGTTAATATTCATTACTTCATTCACATGAATGCGACACAGTTATCTTTTTCTTGAGGTTCTGTCTAATGTCCAGTTAGACCTCAATTAGGAAAAACCAAACATATGCCATTGTTGGCAGTTTCATGTATGTTTGAAGAGTTAGGTGGGTTGGCTTTCAATGGAATAAATAGCTTTTCTGCTATCCTCTTAGTAGGTGATTGTGTACTTACTGAATGACTCTCTCTCATTATGACAATGTGGTTGTTTATGATGAGTTTAAACTGAGCAAAATGTTGCACAGTCCCAATCTAGTTTTTGATTCAAGTGTGGGATCGACTCATGCATTCTTGCGTGATTCTTGTTCTTACCTGATTCTTTCCCCCGAATTGGTGCTGCTACATGTCTGAACCCCACAGGTAGACCATGCAAGCTTGTAACCCAACATTGTTATCATTCATGGCATCTGCACATTGTTATCATTGACCTGTATGAATCAATTTATTCAACAGAACCTCGAGTTCGTATACCAAGAGAAGGATCACATATGCAAGCATGATTATACAATAAAGACAAGTCTTAGAACGCATCACCCGCGGAAATGAGCTTGAAGCAGGTAAGCTCAAATGCAGTACTCTCTTTCTCAGGTTAGCATGAAGCGATTCGAGTTGGCGGCTATACAAATGTGAACTCTGGTTAGCACAGCTGATATGGCTGACCGCTGCATTCTCGTCAGGCGAACAAAGGAGGCTTCCTCCAAGTAGAGATTGCTTTACCGTCGTGGCAACACAGCAAGCACACTCCCTTTCGAGCATTTCAACAAACCGTTTGCGCGCTTTGGGAATGCTGATCTCAACCTCATTCTGTCTCAAAAGGAGAGGGATGGCCTGGCGGCACCCGGCACGGGCCTGCTCGATCCGCTCCCCGAGCGTCTCCTCCTTCACGGCGCCATCAGCTCCTCCAGCTTCTCCAGGAAGTCCGCGATCACCCATCCCTTGGGCTTCTCGATCTTGATCTCCTTGGTCCGCTTCCACCCGATCCCGAAGTTGGGCGGCTCCGGTCGCTGCAGGGCGACTTCCACCGCTTCTCGATCTCGAAGGAGTTGGTGATGGCAGCCGGCGGGAGCTCGGGAAATTCCTCCGACTGGTTGGTTTCAAGGGTAGGATTCGAGACCGAGACGGGGTCACGGTTTCCGATGGAAGGGATGGGGGTAAGGCGGGAGGCGCGGAAGGAGGTAGCGGGAAGCTTTTGGCGGGAAGAGATGGAAGGCGGAGGAGGCCATTTGGAGGAAAGAAGAGTGAGAGAAGCGCCTTGCAATTGGAAATGGAGATAAGGAGAGGGTTATCGTAGTATAGATATACTTCTTTGTGTAGACTGAGGTGATGCCATTGGAGCGGCCATACCATCCTCAACAAATTAAGCATAAAAGCTAAGGAGGTGAAATCTTTTCTACCAACTCTTTTGATGTTGTAAGTTGGACTGTGATTTATTGTGAAATTGATACTGCTCCTTTTAAGTAGATCAGATGATTTCATGACCCATTATTTGTTTTCTCTGTGGTTCATGGGCTTGAAGGAGCAGCCATTGCACATTTTTTAGTTGGGTATGTCATTCTCATGCTACTTCATTTTAATTGGCAGGTGAAGGAGCTGATTTTGGATGATTCACTTTGGCTTTGAAAAATACACAAAAGTATTTGGGTGTCTTACGTTGAATGTGGTAAGTTAATCTAAGCATTCTCATGAAGTCTAAATCATCGGTTCAAATGCTTAAACTTAAGTTAATGACATCTAATTCTTATAAATTCATTTGTCTGGTTTTACTTTCTGAGATGGAACTAAATCGGCATATTATTTTTTTATCATATTAAAATATGCCTATGGTAAAACTCTGATGACACTTTTACACATTACATAACATATATACTTATTAGTAGGATTCAAAGCATAGACTTTTTGACTGTGCGCACAATGTTTTAATCACTTGGAAGTCTAGTTTTCAGGTTTCTGTTCCTCCTAGGATCTATGTGCTTTTCTGAAATTACTGTGTTTGTAAGTTCCCCTGATGTTTGAACTTTGCAGTTATTTCAAGATAATCAGCATTCAGATATTGCTGCAATTGTTTCTACTCTGTAATTGTCAGACCAAGATATTCATATTCCTTGAACCAATCACCAACAAATGAAAGCCATTGTTTTAGAAGAAGGTACTTTATGACAACATTCTGGCTTTCGATGATTATGAATAACAAAAGCAGTACTTTAGGATATGCTTAGGACAACAGCAAAGTGCACACTCCTGCCAGGAGTATGCTTGGGGAGGATCAACTATCGCGAACAAAAATGGCAAATAGCTAAACCATGATGATGTAAATTGGTTGCTTCAACCCATTAGGCAAACAATGGCTGATGCATCAGCATCATGTGCCCAACACACTAACCTAGTATGGTCGACACATCGACACCGCATCGCCGACACACCAGGATCATGCTCTCGACACATTGGTAGCACTCAGCCGATGACTCGACTTCACACAGCCAACATGTAGGTGTCGTATGGTCATTGACTCGATCCCACAAGGCTGACATGCCCAAGCCATGCGGTCAACATGTCGATGCGAGGTGGTAGACATCGTGGTGTAGTGTGGCCGACAAGTCGAATCTGTATAATCGACACTCCAATGCCACCTCAGTGGCACACAATTGAATCCTAGGCTTCTCAAGGGGATGGCACACCAATAGTAGTTGACTTTCATGTGACGGGCACATTACCCCCCTCCCCCATGAATCCACGTTCTTCGGCCAGTTGGTTGCCTCACCGTCCGATTCATGCTACTAGTCAGGAAGTTATGCAATCTCGGATTCGATAGGGGTTGGTTATGCCTAGGATCAGCGTTCCATGTTCGCACTAGTAGTGCACCATCCAAAGATAACAACGTGGAGCTCCCACTATAAAGGGGCTCTGCAAGTATGTCACAATGCATATAGTAACAAAAAGTTTATCCAACTTGTTCGACCTATCCATCGACTTAAACTTTGGAGAGACATTATCGGGAGTGCCCCGACATAATTTTGCAGAATTCGGATAACTAGCAACGAAGTTCAACTTGAGATTGGCTCAAGAGTAGGACCAAGTTGGATCAAAATCAACTTCCACATCGGACAACCAAAAGCTAACTTAACAATTTTTGGTTGTCCAATCTGGATGCAGATTTGGAGCCAACCAAGGCTCCTTCTGCATTTGTCATACTTTAATTTCAACTGACTCATCCAACCCCAAGGGAGTCGAATCCATCCAACTCCGAGGAGGTCAAACCTTGCTGATTCTGAATAGATTGAACCCTATAGAACTGCCCCGGGGGCATCCCTGATAAATGCCTCTCCAGTGCTTAATTAGTTTTGGGTTTGGAGGATTCAGCTAACACTGGGAGAAGTGGTTGGGAGTGTACTTGAGAAGCCCCTTATTGTGGGCTAGGACCATTACTCTGGTGATCGACGCTGATTAGGAGGAGAGGGGGGGCAGTTGCTGAAGTGTCGGTCATGTGCGGACAACCATGTGGCACCGACGTGTCATCCATATGATACTGAGGTGGCAACCATATGGTACTGATGTGGTGTCCACATGGCATTGATATGTCATCCACATGGTAGTGAGGTGGCACCCATGTTGCACCGAGGTATCAGCCACATGGCAATCATGTATCATCTGCAGTGATGAGATAATACATGTGAAAACTATCTTTAGGCTTGCACGGCCTAAGCTGGTAATAGATCTGAAAGCTATTTTTAGGCATGCACCGCCGAAGTTGGAATTACATTAAAACACTGGATATTTTAGGAGCAAAGTCAAAGGGATTCTGTGGGGGCATCACCCTGGAGCTTGCTTTATTTTCTGGGGATTTTTGAGGGGTTTTGTTGTGGGGAGATGAGGAACGATGAGCAGAAACCTCAGGATGATGGTGTGCTGAGGAGCGGCAGCAGTCAGTTCTTCTCTGTTTCGTCATCGTTGAAATTCATGAAGATCATGTCCTCAGGTGCGTCCAATGTTGCATCCACCGTTCTCAAGGTGGGGGGGTGTCCATGGTCTCCTCAATCACCGAAAGCAATGATGATGCCGGCCTTGATCAGGTAGTGCATTGAGATTTCCCTTATCCTTTGTGAAACATCGACACTTATTTGGATTGGATCAGCGAAGACATGAATGAGATTTTGTCTGTTTCTTGTCAATGGTTACAACTTTGTCTGAACCTTACCATCTGATTGCAACTTTGTTGTCCGATGTGGTTGTCCACTCGACATCTAAAGGTTACAATTTTGCACATGTCTGTTTCTTGTCAAAGGTTACAACTTTGTCTTGCATGAATTCAGGCAATAGGGCTGTGACCAATTGTAACCTTTATTTGACTCGACATCATGTTAGTGCTCTAATCTTTCATGTGACAATCATTTGAGTGGATTCATGTGCATCATGATTTTCATCTTAGGTTATATGAGTAAAACATTATTACATAATCCACTCTTCATTTATTTGTATCTATATCTAGTGAAACATAAAACTCTTAGTCTTGACCAACGACATTGGTAGATGTACTTACTATCCATGTCATCTTTGTTGGCCCTATGTTTAATAAAATTTGATGAAGATGCCATATCATTTGAACCGAGTGTTTTTCATCAGTGGCATTCAATGGGTCAATGGATCCTGATGAGCAACATTCCTCCTTACCTTGATAGTTGGAACATAGGACTCTAGTCTTGACCATTGGCATCGGGAGATGTACTATCCATGTCATCTTTGCAGACCCGATGAAGAGTAAAATTCTATGGAGGTGTGTCATCGTTTGAACCAACTTGTTTTTCATCAGTGACAGTCAATGGGTCCATGGATCGTGATGGGCAACCTTCTCCCTTGCCTTTATGGTTAGACAATTGAGATTGATGAGCTACGTTGTGATTGTGGACGACTGATCTGTAGCCATGTCATTTTCCCTAATAATAATTTGTGCTTCTGAAAAAACAAAAAAAGTTCTTTACTTTATCTGCAACTGTTGATGGGTAAAGGTTTGCTTAATTGATATCAATGCTTTTCTGTAGCAAATCCTTTCCTCTTTGCTGAACTCTCTTTCTGTCTTTTCCCTCCACAATTCTGTTTTGCTCCTCTTCTTTTCACAGCATAAGCCTAAACCTTCTTATATAGGCTTCAACCTAAAGGCCATGCACCACAGCAAATCTCCAAGAAAATAATTTAATCTAATCCTAATCTGACACATGCTCGATAAATTTGATTCTTTGATGGTTTTCGTTGTACGTTTTGTGATCATATTTGTTGTAAATTGTTTATATACTTGTGATATTTCTTTCAAATGCTTTAAGGTATGTTGGTTATTTCGATCTTCTAGGTTGATAAATATAGTTGTTTTCCTGTGAATGCAGGTGAAAGCTATTGTGCTTTATGCTAGTTTAGAATGGAACAAAGTTACATGAAGATGAGAAGAGAAGCAAAATCCAAACACAGTGCTCCATCCGTTTAGGAAAGCTTAGACATGTGAACACTGGGTGTAGCTTCTCTGCTCCAAACCTGCATCTTCTCTCCTTTACTTGTGTCAGATGAAGATTGATCCAGAATTAAGAATAATTTTTTTATTAAGAATTAAATGTTAGGTGTTGCTGCCCATGAGTTAAGTGGTGGGACTCATGTGGTTAAATTAAGACTCTAATCCTAACTTAGGTTAGATGAGAAGACAAGAAGCAGGACCATCATACACAAATACACAGAAGAGGTTTTTATCTGGGTAGAAATAAGTTCGATAATTGATTAGTCAAATTTAGATCCGATTGTCATGATTTTTTTTTAGTATGGTGATCTAGACACCATACTTTCTAAATTGATCGGTATAAACTTTTTAGATTTTTTTCTTTTATTTATTTTTTTTAATTTCTTGAAATTCATTTGAGTGTCTTTTTTCACGAGGTATTTGATATCCTCTAATTTATTTAGAGAAAGAATTTGAAACGAAAATTTTATGTAATTAACTATCTTTATTATTTCAGTCTTATATTCTCAAAAATTATACCGAGATTTTTATACTTATGAAAGTGAAATATTTAATTTTATTAAATTATTTTTTTTAATTTTATATAGGGATTTTCACTAAGTATAGGAATCCTAATATAATTTTTAAAAGTATAAAAATCGGAATGTTAAAGATAGTTAATTATAGAGGATAATATATAATTAATCTAAAATTAATTAAAAATTGATCCATAAAGATTACTATTATTATATATGCAAAATATCTAAAGCGATAGTTATATGTAGCCAATATTTATATCCACGACATAGTCCATAGGTACTGTTTACAACCTTTCGGCCTAATAAATGCTTACATAACTCCCATCATTTTATCTTACCGAAATCCATATAAGACAACCTAAATGCCAAGCCAACCCAACATGCATCGGACGCTGACAGCTAACATGACGAAGCTGATGGTGAGGAGCAAGGAGCGAGAATGGGTTGGAGTCACTGCCATCAAACCCGATCGATCTTCCAGATCGGGAATGAACCATTCAACTATATGATCCACCAGCTTAAACCCTTCCACTCGAAATGAACGCCCTTTCTGCATGCAATGCGCCCACAAGCTATAGTCAGAACCCGCCAGATAATAGATATGATCCGGCTTTATTATGTCCAGCTTTGATGATGACTTCATCTTGTATATCGCCACCCCATCTGAGAAAGGACCGAGGAAGAAGGTGCGACCACCCAAGCTATTCACCTCCACTACACGATGATGACGTAGTCCCCACTCCTTGACCTCGAAAACCTTCAACTGTTGTCCCTCTACTCCCGTCGTAGTGCTGCAGTACACAACGAAGACACCGTCATTAGACCCCACCAGCTTAGCCCAGTACGAGCCAGGATGACGATCTTCCTCTTCGAACAAGGTAAGAATGCATTGGAACGACACCTTCCAACGGGGATCGAACGCACACACCCAGATTTCTGCTGAGTCAGTCAGAACATACAACCTTCCATGATGAAACACAATGTCGATGGCGTCATCGATTAGTAATTTCTTGCCCCGAGGATGCCCTGGTCGATACACAATCACGTACTTGACGAAGTTGATCAATTCAAAACATAATGCTGCTAACGTAAAATCTGTAGCAAATGGAGATGTCGAAATGATGCTCTTGATGATAGTCGGTGGAAACGAAGGTAATTCAACCGTAGCTCCAGTGATTGGATTTAGGAGACGAGCCTCGAATTCTCGGAAACGTCGTCGTGGTTTGCGTAAGTGCATCAACCATCCTTTGGATGACCCACAACACCACTGGCTTCGAAACTCCTTTGGGATCTCCAAGCCTAAGCTTCGTCCTCCATTGGATGATGCGTAGAAGCCCCAGTCTAAAGAAGCTGAATCCATGGCGGAGCCCAGCAACCATGGAGCACGTAGAGCAGGGAGGATGATGTCTGAAGTAGCTAATCGCCAAGATTTGCAGACGACGCTGGCACTGATATGATCGGCTATAGGTAGGTGCTTCAAGATCATCTCCATCATATCCATATTAAGTCCACACCACCTTGCCTTTTCGTCTTCCTCGTCGCCGGCTAATGGAGGAGCCATTCGTCCACAGGTTTCTAAGAGAAATCAATTCGTATTAGCAAATTACACATCTAGCACGTAAATAAATTAAAAATTAAGTCATAATTAGTAAGAAATAAACAATTTAATTATATTTGAATTTACATAGGAAAATCATTACCAAATAATATAAAAGTCTTATTCCGAAAATAAATCGATTGTCCATTTTAATTCCTATCTAGATTTGTTTTTTGAAACTTTTCTACTAGTTTAATTTTTGGTTACCAATTTGACTTGACAAAATTGACTTAACATGTATTAGTTTTTCGATTAATGTCATGTCGAAAGAGGAAAGATCATTGAGTATTCAAAACTTAAATACGAGAGAAATATGACGAAAAGCGAAAAATATCTATATCCCTTGTCCCTTGTCTCATTTCAATTCAAGTGTAAAAAGATGCATGCACATCATATCTTACCTTTTATAAAAGATTGTATCAAGACTTTTATCTTATAAAACCCCTCCAATAATCAAATCAATATATGTTTATTCGTCTTAGGCATCAAAAATCCATATAGCAAGCTTGGAATGCAAACATAATATAAGGTCACTTTGCATTGCATCTTTTTTGTAAGATTTAATAATAAAATATATTCTATATTAATAAAAAATAATGAATATATCATTTGTGCCCCTATTTGTATTTCGGGATAAGGGTTTCTTTATCCTAAAACATAGTGTTTATTATATTGTTACTTTATCGATTATGCGAGGTTCCAATAATGGTTTCTTGGAAAATATTTGACACTCATATTTGACATGAGTGAAGTTATTTTAAGGAATTTGCATTTATTTCAATTGTTAATTTGTTCTCTAGCTTTCCTTGTATTCTTCATAACAAAAAAAAATGAATAAAAAGAATAATTGCTAAGAGATGTCAGATTTCCTGTTATATTTATCTTTGCATGTGTCTTCATTCATTTTTATTAGGTGACTGAAATTGAGAAGATGGTGGAAAAAATATCCAATCACCTTAAGAAGTTTTAGGTTTGTCACACATTCTTAATCATGTCTTCTAATTTTCTTTATTCCCACACTGAGTTCATAAACAGAAGTAATGGAAGTGTTCATGGTGTTGTCACTGTTTCCTTAATTCTCCTTATTAGATTTGCACATTTGTTAGGTTTAGTTCTTTTAAACCATAAAGAGAAAGATTGTTGGTACAAAGAGAAAGTATAATATTACAAATGCAAGAAGTTTGATCACTTAGAAAAAGATTTTTATTTCAACACAAATCAGTAAGAAAACTTTTGAGAAGAAAAAGAAAAGAACAAAAAATTGGTATGTGGATACAGTGCATATGGCAAATATATGACCACAAAAGAAGATATTTTTCTTATATTTGCGCCTCATTATAATCTAAAGTCAGAAGAAGCACTTTAAGAAGAGAAAGGAAATGACACAGCTAATGTTCAAACAAAAAGAGGAGTCTAAAATTTTTTTGATATCCTCTTTGTACCAGATTTGGGGCTTAACTGTTAGATAGCTTATGAAGTGAAGTATGAGAATTCACTTCATGTTTAATGTGATGAATGCATCATCTATGACAAAAAGAATAGAAGACATATTATCACTAGTAAGAATGACAAACAGAAAATTTTCACCTTTTTCCATATATGTAAAGGATATTACTAGAAGAGTAGATATGTTGGATGATTCTTGGTTGTGACATAAGAGGCTTACTTTAGATACCCTCAAATTTGTTTCACAAAAATTGATGAGAGAAGGACTACCTATTATTCAATAAAAATAAGAGATTTATGAAAGGTGTGAGAATAAGAGAAAGACTCTAATCGGTAGTTCTCTCATATTTTACATTTGTATAACTTAAGTTTAGCTTACTATTATTTAAGGGTAGAATATGCATGCATATCATATCTCATTTTTTATAAAAGATTGTATCAAGAGTTTATATCATTACACCCCCTCAATTTAGTATGCTTTCATTTGCTTTAAGTATTAAAAATCAATAAGTATTTATTTAGAAAGTTTGGAATGAAAGGATACTATAAGAAATCCACTTTGTATAGCTATCTTTCTTATAAAGTTTAAAATAATAGAATATATTTTTCTTATAAAGTTTAAATTAATAGAATATATTTTTTTGATAATTTGCCATGTAGCATGTATATGTGCTAACATGATTACACATACGGAGTCTCGATTAAAAATAATGAATATTTCATTTGTACTCTTTTTTATGCTTTGACTTTTTTTTATCATAAAGTATAATATTCATTTCAGGACTTTGACTATTGTTATTTGCTTAATCTCATCAGGGTGTTTTGGACCTGTATGATCGCTTTGAGTGTTTTAGTACAGATGACACTTTGGAATGCATCGAGCGCTTTAGTTTTTATTTTTTTGTTATGAGTAGACATTGTGTGCAAAGTAAGATGCTTTTGAATTTGATTGATAGATGATGACATCAAATGTTCTTTTTCATCTAGATGGATGAATTGCATACAAATGAGATACTTTGGGTTGGTTGGTTGCATCATATGCTTCGAATGTGTTTTATCTTAGTGGGTGCTATATGAGTTTGTGTCCTAGTTCAATACATTACAGCATTGTAATAAATCAAACACTTTGAATGATTTTTTATTTTAGGTTAGTGCGTTGCACAAAGTATATATAGCAATCGCTTTAGGTTCTTTTAATGTTTTTTATATCATGTGCCCATGCATCACATGCGAAGGAAATGCTTTACCATGCATCATATACATTGCACATATAAAGGGATACATTGATTGCACTGGGTGCTTTAAAAAATATTGGATGCTTTAGATAATATTTTTGTTTTAGATAAATACATCGG